GGCATCTCCTGCTACTCTCTCTAGCCTTAACCCCATTCATCACCAAGGATTACGTTTATGCCTTGGTGCTTTTCGCTCTTCCCCTGTCGAAAGCCTCTATGCAGAAGCGAACGTTCCATCCTTATCCGATCGCCGTGATGCCCATTGCCTGCGCTACTATGTACGCTCTCATGATCTCCGCAATCCTTCCATTTATAGAATGGTCACTGATATTAGTAGACATTCTTTATTTGTTCGCCGCCCTGCTTTTCTCCGTCCCTTCTCTCTTCGCCTTCATTCGCTCTTGTCTTCTCTTCAACTACCACCTTTCTATGTACATGTAGCATCTCACTTTTCCCTACCCCCCTGGGAAGTTCCAGCTGTTCGAGTCTGTTCTTTCTCCCTCCTTGCTCGAAAGCCCAACTGTCTACGGTCGCTTCCCGCTCTCTTTTTCTTGACCACTTTCACTCTCATTCTCATGCCATTGCTGTGTACACAGATGGCTCTAAGTCTTCTGACGGCGTAGGATTCGCAGCAGTGTTTCCGGACAGCGTCGTACAAGGGCATTTACTATCTTCAGCTAGTATTTTTACTGCTGAATTATATGCCATCCTTACAGCACTTATCCGTATTGCATCTATGCCTGTGTCATCATTTGTGGTTGTCTCAGACTCCCTTAGTGCTTTACAGGCTATACAAAAATTTGATACACCTCACCCCCTTTGTCCTCCGTATCCAACTTTGGCTACGCCGCATCTTTACTAAGCATAAAGATATTGTTTTTTGTTGGGTCCCTGGTCATGTTGACGTACAGGGCAATGAACAGGCAGACACTGCTGCGCGGTCAGCAGTACATGACCTACCAGTTTCTTATAGAGGTATTCCATGTACGGACTATTTTGCTGTAATATCTTCCCACCTTCACACCCGTTGGCAACAACGTTGGTCTACTATGCTCGGCAACAAACTTCAGTCTATTAAACCGAGTATAGGTTACTGGCCGTCTTCTTATCACCAGTGTCGAGGTTGGGAGACTACTCTCTCCCGTCTTCGCATTGGCCATACTCGTCTTACTCATGGATATCTCATGGAGAGGCGTCTTGCTCCTCTCTGTGAGAATTGCCAAGCTCCATTATCAGTCAGCCACATTCTGTTGGACTGCCCACTTTATCAACGAGCACGCAGAATTTACCTCTGTCGTCGTCTTCGCCCCGCTGCTCTCTCTTTACCTTCCCTTCTCGCTGATGGACCCACCTTTCATCCGGACTCTCTCATTGACTTTTTGACAACGACTGACTTACTTCACAAATTCTGATACTTTCAGCCCTTTCTACTTGTATCTCTTGCTACCCTCTACCCCCGTACTATCCCCTGCCCCGCTGTTTTCTGTAACCTGCTGATCATCCCCCCTCCCTTCTGCCATCCAATTCCCTTGCTTCCTTCCCTACCCTGCAGCGCTGTATAGCCCTTGTGGCTTAGCGCTTCTTTTTGATTATAATAATAATAAGTCAAGTCAGCATTCTGCAATACATTTGGTCATAGTGCATGAGAATAATAATAAAAGTAACCAACAAAATACATTAATAAATTTAAAGGAATAATATATAATTTATACAGTATTTAAGATTCACTTTGAAAACTTTGTTCAAATTAAGGTAAAGATTACCCTTACATGATTTGCACAAGCTCTATAAAGTGTGCATGCAATAAGTAAAGCTCAGTGTGCAATATTTAAAATTAATATAGTATTCAGGTAGTATATCGGTTGGCTTTAGTTGCCTCTGGAAGCACAACAGAGGAGATTAAAGGGACTTGCCAGTCTCTTGAGACTTGGGCCAAATTGTCTCCCCATGTAATTTTTAAAAAGTTAACTGGGAAAATTTTAAAGTAGGTTTTCATGGCAGCTAAACAGAAAAAGCAAACATTCTCAGTGTGGCTCAAGAATCTTATATATGTATTTTAAAGTGTAGAACTAGTCTGTAATTAAAGTATTTAAGGTTGATTCTAGATCAGAAGAAGTGGAGGATTAATTACAAAGCATTAAATATAAATTCTAAAATAAACAAGGAACACAGAACACGTAAGTCTAAAAGTGAGCAAGGAATATTTAATGCACAATTTATGAAAAAATGTTAAAAGAATTTGATAATTAACATCTTTGATCCCAGGGGCCTGTAAGACTACCTTACAATGACTGTATCCTTACTGCCTGCAGTACTTTTTTTTTTTGTCTGTATACCCACAGTATATAGGAAGTCAAAAATGATGACAAGTTGATTTCAAGTTATTGAAATTAAAATTAAACAGGATACAGAAAGCTACTCATCTGCATGCCAACAGCATCGCACATGAGGGTTGCCACTGTGAAGTGTTCTCATCTTCTTGCATAACTAAATTTTTTTGTAATCACATAACTAAATGTTACACTTAACTAAATATAACAGCTTTGACCTATTTTAACTAGTATCACAGTCAACTTTCAACACTTAAACATTTGCCTTTGTCAATTATGTATAGGACAATTTTATTGCCATTGTGTATGTTACAACATAAGTTTTACAGTTAAACCAATGTGAATAAAGCATGTTGTGCAAGATTGTCTATTTGAATGCAAATTATTTTGGTTATGCTTTCCTATTATCAAAATATATAATGTGCACTCTAGATATTGCACACAGTTTGTTTTCCAATGTATGAACAAGTGTTTATTTTTGAAAAAGCTATTTAGAGACCAAAATAAGTTTTGTTACTTTACTAAATCCTAATTATCTTAAATTTACCAGTAACCAAATTGTATAAACAAGATGGCATATTGACATTGCTTATACACAAATAACCCACACATAAGAGAATGAAACTTATGACAATGTTTTCCTCCTACTTGGACAATTAGCTAGTTAATGGTCCATGTTGGACTGAGACATTGTCATAAGTTTCATTCTCCTATGTGCAGGTTATTTATGTATTGTTCCAGTTATGGTATTGTGCCCTTTTCTTTTTTGGCATTGCTTAAATTTCTAGAAACCTTGTGCTCATTATTTATGGCAGATAGTTGACTGCAGAATTGGTTGAAAGGCTATCATGTTTCAATTAGAATTATTGGATACACCTAACTTATTATTGCGAGCACAGCCGATTCAGCTGCAGCATTTAATTATTCTGTTTAGTTTTTTGTTCATTTTCATATTAAATTTGGGCATGAGTTTTCCTTCCAGAATAAAATGTCTAAGAGTTTACCTTTTTGTTTTATTCTGGGAAAATACAGGTGTATTAATTATAAGAATAAGATTTGTGCATGCTCATTGACTGTTGCTGAAAAATGTGAAGTAATTGCTATGCCACTGATGCCTAGCAGCAACAACCAAAGTACTTGGTGAGCACATTACATGTTTGTTTAATAAATTATTTTTTGGGGGAATTTAAGGCTGATTTTGGGCACTAGCATAAAAGTTGGCATTTTAGGATGCAATAAAATTTAATAAGAACTATACCATACACTATATTGCAAAGTACATTACTCGCCATATTTTATTCAAAGCTTTCCTAATAATGTTTATCTTTTTTTTTCTAGGGGATAGAATATAATGCACTAATCATATGTACACTTCATAAGGGGTGCCTTGAAACTAGTGAAAGGCTCTCATCCAAGGAAGTGGATTTTCCTCCTATTTCCTCAGCACTGTATGACAGGTTCAGTGTTCCCCATGAATGTATTATTATTATTATAATCAAGGGGGAAGTGCTAAACCTCTAGGATTATACAGTGGCTGTGGGGGGATGGAAGGTATTCAGGCCTAATACAGGGAACTGGAACACAGATCCAGTTCCCTAGATCAAGAGCCCCTCACCAGCATCAAGGAACCTTTCTTGAGGGGCCCATGAATGTAATAATCTTCACTTAAAGAATTACAGCTACTCTCCCTTTCCTTGAATCAAACCCCCTGTCAAAGGGAGCACAAGTTCTTGGTCCAAAGAATTAAACCTGTCCTCCCTTTCTTGGACTGAACCTGATTGCCTCCATTTTCATGGATCAAAAATGATTTGGTCTATGCAAAAAATTTCCTTTGTAACATGTTTACACTAGGGAGATGACAGCTGTCAACTTCTGTTTGGAGTAAACAGTTGTCATACTTTTAGCTGGGCCATATACCAGTTTTCAGTAATTGTGTGTTTTCCAGTTATTTCACCTTAATCTTTATATATCCTATGATTCATGAATTACTCTATAGCTATATTAGCAAGTCCCTCTCTTAAGAACATTTTCAGGAATGCCCTGAAAAAGTTTATCATACATCCACAACATACTCAGATTTCTTCCCAAACTATAATATTACATTTCTAATTTATTTTTAACCAAGAATATTTTTTCCATCATTTTACATTCAGCATCGTTCCTTTTCACTTACAAATAGAAGTTATACAGCTTAGGGGAATGGGCAACATTAAAATTCGATTCAAGGGGAGAGCAGGCACAATTCCTTGGATCAAGAGCTCCTCACCTGTGTTATGGAATCTCCCGTGAAAGGATTAACATTAACTGGATAAAAGTTACAGTTCAGTACACTGCACAGATGTGTAGGGAAAGGCAGCAGCTGAACTGCCTCTTCCCTCACACTCATGCCTATCTAATACAGTACTCTTTATGCGAGTTACCACTTCCTCACTACTGTGGTTGCTCATTGTAGGAACCCTCAAGTGAGGTGCCTTGATGCTGGTGAGGCTGCTTTCCTACTTATCCCCTTTTTTTAATTTAATGTGACTGCCTTCCAAACAGCAATTGAACTATTCATCTCCCTCACTCCTACACTATATCTACGTATGCTTACCACTCCCTCATTGTTATGGCAAAAGTTATTTGTGCCTGAGAAGTTAGTGGCAGGTATAATTGTAAGTGTAGAATGTGCTTCCACTGTGTTGTGCCTCAACCACGGACATGTTTATCTCTACTAAAGAGGTATGAACTCTCGGCACAAACACAAAATACCAATGCATTTGGTAAAATAAAAAATAAAAATTCAGCCTTAAGAAAGTTTACAATTTTATTGTAGTTCTTCACATATCTCTACCAAATGACAGCATTCCCTACATAAACTAAACATATACAAAGTATGAATGCATTTTATTAAAAATTTAGAATTTTTTCTATAATTCAATCTTACAAAATTGTGAGCTCTAGACATGCATAAAGTGATTGTATTGGTAAAAAATGCACACAAAGATCATTACTGCAGCTCAGAATTCATAATTACATAATTGGTTCCACTGCTAATATCCCTCAAGGGAGGTTCCTTGTTAGTGAGGGGCTCTTGAGCCAATGAATTGGACCTGTACTTTCTTTCCTTAGTTCAAATATGAATATCTCCTTTTTCCTCAGATGCTGTATGATCTCTACAGATTCAGCCCTTCCCATTAATGTTTCAATAATCAAGTGACAATATCATAAGTGTGGAAAGTTGGGGACTTCTTGTACAGTATTGCAAAGTGATATAATCACTTCACCTTGCTAAACCCTTGAAAACCCTCACAATCTTTTTTTTTTTTTTTTTTTTTAGCTTCAAAAATATATTTGTTCTGCATATATGTTATACTCTATGTAAGCCGATTTGCAATATAGCCTCTTTCATACATCACATGGAAAAGCACAAAATAAAACCATTTTCACTATAATGATATGCTTGCAAATATTACACACAATAAAAGTTATCTTGCATTTTAAAAATAAATAGGCATTTTAAGAGCTTTTAGTCGGACTATAATAACTTTTATCTACAACATGGCAAATGGAATTTCAGCAATCCAACTTTAACTCAGCAACCGTAATGTAAGCAATCTCTTCTGAGTAATTTAATACATATACAAAGACAACAATCTCATATACACAGGTTTAACAGATAAGGCTAATTTAATTTATGGTGGATATATAAATAGTGTGCATGTATTAAAGGACACAAATGTGTACATGTTATAATCACTAATTTTAATACTGTTAGTTAAAGTCCAGAAAAAAAGTTAAAACTATCAATCAGGCAATTTCATATGTCTACCCAGCCCAACACTAACTGTAAATCAATTATTACAATGGAATGAGTCTATGAATGCTCCACAACCTTTCTCATAAATACAGTTGGTCCACATTTGTGACTTATCATAGTTAGCAAGCATGTACAGCTTTCTTTCTAAACATTTCCAAAAATGTTTATGTGCAAGAGTAAATATTTCAGGCATCTATATTCTTGCATCAGAAATTCTCACAAAAGTCAAAATTAGATCTGTAATCATTCAACTACCCTCAAAATATTTTTCTATTTGCTTCCAAATAGCAGGGGTTAGTACAAACACAAGTTTCATTCAAACTGTAAAAACTAAACAATTTCACCATGACTGACTTTAGTTTGACTTGGTGATGCATGTACATGCTGTATTATTAATTTCAGTTAAAACTGCCAGTGATGTTCACGTATAACACCAGACAAGTTATGCTTTTCTCTCTGACTACAAGAGATTAAAAGGTTTTATAAAACAAAAATGGCTCAACATAAGACTTATTCACATAGAGCACTCAACACAATATATTAAATTTGTTTACAAAAATTACAGAATTAATTTTTTAAAGTCTACTTTTAAGTAACACATTCAGAGTTCTAAATATTCATGTATTTCATCTTTATGCATGTTTTTATAAGCACTGTTACTATCATGTTCTGGAATGTCAGGTCCTTTGGTAGAATCTATTGGATTTCCCTCCTGCTCCCCATGAAGAGGTTCCAACGTTGATTTGCGCTGAGACTCTGTTTCATGTAAATTTTGTATTTGTTTTAAGAGTAACTGAAGTTTGGATGCATGATGCGGAGGTATAGAAGTATGAAGTGTGCGCAGAGATTCTTCAGCCTAAAAAAAAAAAAATGTAGTAAATGCTTACTGACACAAAACAGTGTGAAATAACTAAAATAACATTCCTCATATTCTGCTCCTTTAGAGTGCAGGTAGTTTACTTCTCACCTCCAGGAAATTCAACTAAGTTTCCCCTAATCCCTTCATGAATGTTTTCTTGCTCACACTCCAACAGCAAACTGAGTTATAAAAACTGTTTGCCTTCATTTTGATCTAAAGCGTTCGCACAGACCTGTTTGATGTTCGAGCAGAACTCGAACCTTCTCAGTCAACACATGGCTTATGTAACACCTATTTCTGTTACTTTTTATTTGTACTGTATGTATAAAGTTCTAGGAATTCTCACGTTAACATGTAAAAAAAAATGAATAATAAATTATTCGCATTATGATACTTTTAAAATGCCTACACAATTAGCAAATTCAATAATTTTTCCCAATAACAAAATTACTTTTAAAATACTACTGTATTACAACGAACCTTTCTTAGAAATCCTGCAGCTTCCTCAATAGATTTTCTCCACCTCTCTACCTCTGCAGCATGAATAGCTTCCTGTTGTTGAAGTATTCGCACCCACTCCTCAAGAGGACCTCCAGAAGCTCCAGATCTGAAAGAAAGCCACAATAAATGTTTTTATATATACTTATGCAGGTTCTGTTATTTTTGTATAAACATGTTATAACATGTTGGAAATTTAACAATTACAGCATGAATGATAACTCAATCAGATGGGACATCACTACCATGACACTTTTCCTCTTAAGTCTAAATGGTTAATAACACACTTAACTTACTTGAACATACTGGGATCCAGAAATGGGTAAGAGGTGGAGCGAAGAAAAATTTTTTCTTCAAGTGCCCAAAGTTTGTAATAAAGTAAAGCATTAAGGATCAAGAGAATAACTACGGTAGCCACAACTAGTCTCACTGGACCTTCATTCGATGAACTATTACTATCTGGGATAACAGTTGGCAATGCTGAAATAAAATAATTAAGGATAAGTACAGAATTGAAATAACATTAGTAACAAAACACATTGTTAATTATGAAGACCTTTTTTCTACTGTCATTTACCCCATAAGTAATAAAAGTTGCAATTTTCTAATTAACCTTCAATATGCTAATCTTTCATAGCTAAGTGAGGCACATACTAAAATGGTAGTGGGTTTGTGTCAACCATCTTTGATATTGTTTTAATGTCACCTTTACACCATTTATAACATTTTTAGTATATTTTTAAATGTTTATACAGCAGTGTACTGTATATTGTAAAACAGAATAGAGGAAATCAGCTCTAATATACATTATTTAGGATTTAGGTATGCATACTGGTCAGAGAGCCTGTCGTAAGTCCGAGTTGTTGGTAAACGAGTACGTCACTAAGTGACGAGAGGCTGTACTTGGTAATCACTGCAACTAGCAAAAGGTCTCTTCTCTTACAGGAATTATGTGATGAAAGTAACCGAATAGCAACAATTTAACCCTTTCAGGGTCTGTGCCATAGTACTATGGCTTTGAATGCTTAGTCAGTGCCATAGAGCTATATGATGAAATCAGCTCGCTCAGATAAGCTGTGAGCGATAAATTTTTTTGCCTAGATATGAGAGAATGGGTCTATGCAGTAAGAATGCACAATTTAAAAAAAATCCTGCTCCACAGTTTATAATGGAAAAAAATTGACCATATTTTTAGTTTAAAATAGTGACTTGTGGTGTATTTTTGTATGGCTTTTATGGTTGTATTCTCGGTTTCTTGGTCTCACTCGATAGAATGGAAGATATATTACAGAAATAAAGATTATTTTGATTAGTTACAGGACAAAGTAGTTTGAACTGAGCTCAAAGTAGCAGAAATGTCTGATTTTTGCAGATATTCCAGAGTACACAAATTACATCACTTGTCCAATGTGTGTCCAACTGGTTGGTCTAATACAGGTTCAGGAATGCACTGACATTATTTATGTAATTATTAAAAGTATTCAGTAATCTGCTTAACAGTAAATCTAATTTTTGTGTGAATAAAAATTGAAAATGGCAAGCAAGCATAATATAGGAGAGGCCTGGGGATGTAACTAATGAATAGAGGAAATTGTTTTTTAGTGCCAGTAATGTCTACATTGTTTATTCTGGACCCTATTTATAAACTGGCAATTTTTTGTGTGAAATTGGCCAAATTACTGATTTCTGATCTCTTTATTGGGTAGTTGAAATAGGTAAATGATTTTTTTTTATACTTGATTGACAGAATGGAAGGAATACTAACAAAATACCCATGAGTTTCGGTGATAGAAATTGGCTTAAAATAGGACTCAAAATGGGTGAATCGCCAATGCTTAAATTTTGCCAAGATTGCAAACTTTGTGAGAGTGTCACTTCATAAATTTTTCATCAAATTTCACACTTTTGGTTTCATTACCTTCAGAAAAAGATTTTCTATCATTTCACAGGAAAAAAATTTTTTTTTTTTTTTTTTGAAAATTCCCTGACCCTTAGAGCAATTCTCAGATAGATCTGATCCTAAAGGAGTTAATGAATGGTGGTGAATATGTTTTTTCTTAAGTGTCACTCTGCACTGGCAAAAGACATCACTGAGGTAAAAAAAAAAAAAAAAAATAATGCCAATAGTATTCAGCAGTCTTCTCAATCAATGAACCAAGTCCTATAATTCTAACATTTGTCAGGTACAGGCCAGTGTCTCCTTGTCCAGAACCTGTTTTGTTATTGTTCCCAGAGCCATCGACTACCTGCATTAAGTCTGTGCTCTCTCAAGGATACACTTGTCATTCAGTTTCCACTTTTTCCTGGATTTACAGTGTTCTGTGTGACTTGAGCAACATACTAAGTACAGTACAATTAACAATGGCTTCTAAATAAAGTTGTGGTGTTAAGAGGAAATGAGTGATTGTGTAAAGTGGAGACAAAAGGTAACTTAAAATTACTGTATATGAAGTAACACTGTACTTTCAACTTCATTTTATTTACGATTCCTTTAAGTGTTCAATACTCTTTTGAATCAACAGACCAAGTCCACAGATTCTCAACTTTGACAGTTATGTTGCAATCACGAAAAATAAAATTTACAATTCAGAATCTGGGCAATTGGCAATAATGTAACCCCCCTCCTATTATTAGTTCATTAATTAGAGGGTTCACACATCCTGCCCAGCTACTCCAATATGGAAAACACTGGGAAATTAAAAGCTAGAACAGCATATAAGACAAATTCTAACCACAAAATTAAGTGAAAAACTAATGTGAAAAGCTTAGGAGTGAAAATGTCCGAGGTCCCAAACTATTTAACATCCTATCAGAAGATATCAGAAACATGGCTGGGACAAGTGTAGAAGCCTTCAAGAGGAAACTGGACAAGTATCTTCACCAGGTGCCAGATCAACCAGGCTGTGATGAATATGTGGGGCAGCAGGCCTCCAGCAGCAACAGCCTGGTTTACCAGGCAAGCACCAGACGAGCCTGGCTTGAAACTTCAAATGTATATCAAAGGTGTCAGAGGATTTCACCTTCAAGGACCACAATGGTGTCATTATCACCACTACAAGGAAAATGATAGGACAGACAGTGAGATTCTTCAAAACAAGGGATGCCAAGCCAATGATGATCCTTTAAGTCACTTCTATGCAGGGATACCACTGTACACTAACAGCCCCCTTTCAAGGCAGGTGAAACTGCAGATCTGGAGAACGTATAGAGGAGCTTCACTGCATGTATAAGTTCAGTAAAGCACCTCAATTACCGGGAACATTTGAATTCCCATGACCTGTACTCATTAGAGCACAGGCAAGAAAGGTACATCGTAATTTACACCTGGAAAATCCTAGAGGGACTAGTCCCAAATCTGCACACAGAAATCACTTCCTACGAAAGCAAAAGACTCAGCAGACGGTGCAACATCCCCTCAATGAAAAGTAAAGTGCCAAGTGTACACAGAGAAAATACTTTTTATCTCGAGGCTGTTCAGCAATCTCCCATCATACATGACGAGGATTACCAACAGACACCTGTCTACTGATACTCTGATACACCCCCTAATTCTTATACCCACCCTCAAAGCCATGTAGTCCATGACCCCAAGATCAGTTGTAATGAACGACTGTTAATGAATAAACAGAAGAATGGATGAGGACTTGAACCATGTTTCATGTATACATGTATGAAAACCTGTACAATCAATGTTGAGCAACATGTAGATTATAGGAATAGAGAAGTTTCTTAAATATCTTAAATCAACTTACTGAGCTTTCTGGCAGGGATCTGTGTTGCTTTATGTATATCCTTAACTTTATCAGGATAAACTTGTGAGGGGAGAAGCACATCTGGAGGTTCTCCCTTGCTGCCACCCCTACGTCTTCTCCGCCGCGTTTTCTTCAGGTGCGAGCATTCAACCTCGGCTAGCAATGCTGTATTGATGTCATTCAGTAGAGATTCAACACCACTGAATGCATTCTTATCAATTACTCCTACAAAAAAAATTTTTTTTTTTTTACTTTTAATGTCAGTAAAATATAAATATATTTACAAAACTATTAAATCAAAATAAAACAGGTTATATTCCTTTGAGTGATCTTTTCAAATAAAGAGATGCATCAAAGAAAAGTCCCATTAACATGAATGCATACATACTACTATTTTAGGCATCTTTGGAAATCTTATTCAGTAGGGCCCCACTTATACGACAGGTTAGGTTCCAGGCTACTGCTGGAAAGCAGAACGCCATTTTTTTCCACTTATAAATGCATATAAATGCCAGACAAGTTTACACTAACTTATTTTAAGTTAGTAATAGAACTAGGCATTAAAAAAAACAATAAAAAGTAAAATACATATACAGTACATTCATTACTTACTTTAAAATATTTGTAGTCTTAATATACGGCGAGAAGAGAGTAGTACTTATTTGTAGGAAGTCAGGTGTAGGTAGCCCTGGCTCCCCGTCCCAATCTTAATATACGATATTTAAAGCAGCAAAATTGGATATCAAATTAAGGAGGAGGAGTATGGAAGAAGTGAATGTTTCCAGATATTTGGGAGTTGACGTGTCAGCGGATGGATTTATGAAGGACGAGGTTAATCATAGAATTGATGAAGGAAAAAAGGTGAGTGGTGCATTGAGGTATATGTGGAGGCAAAAAATGTTATCTATGGAGGCAAAGAAGGGAATGTATGAAAGTATAGTAGTACCAACACTTTTATATGGGTGTGAAGCTTGGGTTGTAAATGCTGCAGCGAGGAGGCGGTTGGAGGCAGTGGAGATGTCCTGTCTAAGAGCAATGTGTGGTGTAAACATTATGCAGAAATTTCGGAGTGTGGAAATTAGGAGAAGGTGTGGAGTTAATAAATGTATTAGTCAGAGGGCTGAAGAGGGTTTGTTGAGGTGGTTTGGTCATTTAGAGAGAATGGATCAAAGTAGATTGACATGGAGAGGGTATAAATCTGTAGGGGAAGGAAGGCGGGGTAGGGGTCGTCCTTGAAAAGGTTGGAGTGAGGGGGTAAAGGTGGTGTTGTGGGCGAGGGGTTTGGACTTCCAGCAAGCGTGCGTGAGCGTGTTAGATAGGAGTGAATGGAGACAAATGGTATTGGGGACCTGACGATCTGTTGGAGTGTGAGCAGGGTAATATTTAGTGAAGGGATTCAGGGAAACCGGTTATTTTATATAACCGGACTTGAGTCCTGGAAATGCTTGCACTCTAAAGGAGGGGTTTGGGATATTGGCAGTTTGGAGAGATATATTGTGTATTTTTATACGTATATACTTCTAAACTACCTAAGTAGTAGGTTGGTAGAGAGCAACCGCCCAGGGAGGTACTACCGTCCTGCCAAGCGAGTGTAAAACGAAAGCCTGTAATTGTTGTACATGATGGTAGGATTGCTGGTGTCCTTTTTTCTGTCTCATTAACATGCAAGATTTCAGGTATGTCTTGCTACTTCTACTTACACTTAGGTCACACTACACATACATGTACAAGCATATATATACACACCCCTCTGGGTTTTCTTCTATTTTCTTTCTAGTTTTTATTGTTGTTTATTTCCTCTTATCTCCATGGGGAAGTGGAACAGAATTCTTCCTCTGTAAGCCATGCGTGTTGTAAAAGGCGACTAAAATGCCGGGAGCAAGGGGCTAGCAACCTCTTCTCCTGTATATATTACTAAATGTAAAAGGAGAAACTTTCGTTTTTCCTTTTGGGCCACCCCGCCTCAGTGGGATACGGCTGGTGTGTTTAAAGAAAGAAGACTTCTCAACTGTTGTATTCTGGGCACCTCTGCAAAAACAGTGATTATGTGTGAGTGAGGTGAAAGTGTTGAATGATGATGAAAGTATTTTCTTTTTGGGGATTGTCTTTCTCTTTGAGTCACCCTGCCTCGGTGGGAGACGGCCAACTTGTTGAAAAAAAAATTTAAAGCAGCCTGAAGAGATAAAATACATATACAATACACTCATTATTAACCTTAAAATATGTGTAGTCTTACTGTAGGATGAGAGGTGAGTAGTATTTATTTGTAGGAAGTCAGGTGTAGGTAGCCAGTAGATGTAGCTATATAGTCTGCCTGGCTACATAGCTGCACCTACCTACCTACATAGCTACACATGATACTTAATGTGGCCCAGAGCCATATTATTACAATCAACATACCTTGTTCACCTAGTTTAATCGTTTCTAACAACTACCTTTAGATGCCATCATAAACGAAGGGAGAAGTAATGAATAATTCATGCTGAGAATTGTAAACGAAAGTGTTGTGTTAAGGGGAGTAACTGGGCCAAATGCAGATTCACACACATTTTCTATGGTTCTGGACCAGAGAAAACGTAATGTTTTCCCTCGGCCCGACTACCACACCTCCATAGCATATAAACTTACCATGTTTATATGCTATGTAATGTGTTTCTTGTATAATTCTGAAAAACACATCATAGATGAATTAATGAAAATGTCTATAGTAATGTAAAATAAGACATTCAATGTGCCCAAGAGTGATTATTATTATGTATTAATATTATTATTATGGCATTAATTAAGACTAGAGGGACACTTAGTGATTTTAATGTGTACCTGCAAGCCAGCAGTGTATAAGTATATTTAGGTACAGATACACATAAATATAATTATCCCTGCCTCGGTGGGAGACGGCCGACTTGTTGAAAAAAAAAAAAAAAAAACATAAAATATTCAATAACTTTAAAACACTTGAAATTTTGGAAAGTTTCCAGACATAATAAAGAGATGTGCTCACAGAGAATGTAAACAAACTGGGTGGGGGGCGTTCCATATTAGAAAGATGAGGAGCCATACAGAGAGTTTTGGTCATAATTTGAAATCGCCGTATTAGCGGAATGCCGTAAAGCGGGGCCCTACTGTATACAGTATTCAAACAATGTAGTTGTATGACAATGTGAGACAATAGGGAAGAGGGATAGAGGAGAGAGAAAGGGGAGGCATGAATACAGATGGAGTGAGATAGGAGGAAGGAATAAGGAGTCAAGACTGAGGAAGAAAATAATTTTAGATTTTTGGGATAATAAACCAAAGAAAATGTCATCTACTTTAATCTTCATGTAAAATATCTTTTTTTTTTTACTTTTAGTTTACAACAGGGACAACTAAGTGAGCACAATTAGGTACACAGCCTATACTGTTTATAGCCCATATGGGTTGAGCACTTCACAGATAAAACTATTAAAGCAAAATGAAATGGTGATCCATTTATTAACACTGACCATCTACCACTGAGGTATGGTGACCCACACACAAAAAAAAAAAAATCCAACCCTTCCTGGGATGACCCATTTGCTTCCTTTCATCCAATTTATAAATCCTCTTGGTCATCCTATTCTACTCCATTCTTTCTGAATGCCTAAACCACCTCAACAATCCTGCTTTAGAATGCATACCTTTGGTAACTTCACACCTAATTTCTATGCTCTAAATTCTATGCATAATAATCATCAAACATTGCTCTCAAACATGACATCTTGGGAAAATAATAAAAACAAGACTGTAAACAAATTGGAAGATGGGCAGGGTCTGAACCTAAGGTAAGCCAGTCCTAAAACACTTGCAGACCACTTGTCCACAGACTTAATGAGATTCACCTAATTGGTATATTTCTATACACTTGAAAGGTTAACATGTGTCACACTGTGACCACAAATGTAAGTTTTTATGAATCAATGTCACATACATTCCAGCAATGAGATCTAGCTCAGTCACTTCAAAGAACACAGTTAGTTTGAACTAGCTTAACGTGATGTGAACCTTGATCAGTCCCAAAGTTGCATGTCAAGTTTTATGGCCACAAATATTCAAACTTACCTTTCATAAAGCCCCAAACATTCTTCTTATATTTAACTTGAGACCACACACTAATCCTAGTTTCTGAGGCAGACTCACGGGTCAAACACCAATGGTTGGAAACAAAGAATGAATCGGCATATGGGATACCAGCATTGCAAGCTTCAGCATCAACTGTATAGATTTCTCCATGTTTACTGAATGGGGACACAACCTGGAAAAAAATACATTCACTATTCATTCCCTAGCTGTCTCTCCAGAGGTACATGGCTATGATAGTCATATGATCCACCAAAGAGTACTATCTCCACCCATCATTCAATATAAAATTGCAATAAAAACAAATACATCTTACTTGTGTTTCTGTGACATGAGAAACTTTGGGTCCAAAACTATTTGGTGGAAGTGTTAGGGTATAAGTAACCTGGCGGAGTTTTTGCTTGGTTTCTGGGTTACTCTGCCATGGACTTGCAACAACATCTGGAATGAGTTCAAACATTGTATTTTTGTGTTAACTAATGTATCAAGTACCGAGACTTTACCTACTATCCCAGTCAATTATTTTCTAAACACAGGTATTCAGAGAAATGTATCAGAGCAGAATGTTACAGCTTACATCTAGCTATACTACTCATCATGTGTAGTTACAGGTACACTACCAGTACTTAAGTCTAACTGCATAGACTGCTGCAGGTTAGTAGACAGAATACCTACTCTCACTAATATTTTCCCTAAAAATGAAAGGCTACCAATGATGTATTCAATCAATTCCTGTTCTAATGCACTGGTTTTGTAAATCATTTGCAAACAAATTACAAAAATAAAGAATTTCATAATATAACTGGAGATTTAGAATATTAACCCCTCTTGGTGAATGTATCAGGATTTTCTACTTAATTAAAATACCTATGCAGACAGAATTTCTACATGAAGCTCTCCTGCCACAGTTAAAATCAGGCAATGAAATCATCTATCATTTGATATCACTATAGAGTAGTTAGACAAAAAAAATTACACTGTTACTAAAGTGTATTTCTAGATTTAAAAGGGAACACTTGCTACATTCACCTAGTAAGAAATTGCATATACATATTATGTAACTCTCTAGGTTATATGTAGATAGATGAAGAACCTATATTCTCACAAACAATTATTCAGGAAAGAAATTTACATGAGTATTTCAGATTGGTTCTCCTTGTATAATTTACAAAGAATCAAGAAGGCAGAGGTGACAGTGGTTAGATCAACAACCAAATACTACTTTAACTAATCAATGCTATACAACTACAAAATATAAAACACAATAATAAAGAAATTCTCACCTGAGGTACTCCTAGCAGTATAAAGATCCAACATGAATTTTGAGTTGGTAAACAGGAGCGTAAAAACTGTGTCAACTGGAAGAGAATATACTGCATTGATAACCTCACGACCCTGATGGTGAGAGCTCTGGTTGGGGCATGCAACTGATTCTCCGGATGCTAAACCTGAAAAATACAATTACTTAATATATAAAAATTGATGAATGGCATTTTATTACCTAAATAACTATTTTTACATGACCATTCTAATTCACCATATATTCCTGGAACAAGCAGTAAACAGTACACAAAATAAATGATACAAGTATTATATTTAGTTTTCCTTTTGACAGAAGTATATTATTTAGTTTTCCTTTATTTCTTAATTGAATTTTGGTGTATTTTACGAATGACATTGGTTCCCAGGAATGGGACCCCAATTATAATACTGAACTTATGGGAAATAAGCACTGGACTTCAACTTACTACGGCTCAACTTTTGACCCTCTTCAGGTGGTGCTAGGATGAACTGGTGTAAAAGAAGGATTACCAAAAGATTATTATGAGGGCAACTAGTGTCTCTAATACTGTAAAATTTGTGTAAATGACTTGCCAGAAGGAGTCGAATATAATGGCCATCTGTAGACAATGTGAAATTCCAGTAATAAGAAGGAAAAGGATAGGACAGAATGGGACAGAGTCTAGGGAGACTTGAATCATACAAGTGACTGCTGCAAGCCAATCTAAATATGGGCAAGGAGGAAAAACTAGAGATGAAATAATAGTCTGGGAAGAGAGAAACTTCAAAAAAAAAAAAAAAAAAAAAAAAAAAAAAAAAAAAAAAAGAGTTTTTCACTCAACATTACCAGAGGAGCAACTTCTATGGTATAACATGAGCAGCATATGTAAAGCTGGCAAATTTCTGAACCTTCAAAAACCATAATAAAGTATCCTTTGACAGCTTTTGCATAATGCACCGTATCATCCTTTGCGGATGATACTAGGATCTGCATGAGGCTGTCATCTGCTGAGGATGCGGTTAACCTCCAAGAAGATATAAACAAAGCTTTCCAGTGGGCAACGGTAAACAATATGATGTTCAATGAGGACAAATTCCAACTACTCCGTTATGGAAAACTGGAGGAGATAATAACTAGAACAGAGTATACTACAGACTCTGGCCATACAATAGAATGGAAAAATAATGTAAGGGACCTGGGAGTAGTAATGTCTGAGGATCTCACTTTCAAGGATCACAACAGTGCCATGATCGCACGTGCAAAGAAAATGATAGGATGGATAATGAGAATGTTCAAAATGAGAGATGCCAAGCCAATGATGATCCTTTTCAAATCACTTGTTCTCTCTAGGCTGGAATACTGCTGTACATTAACATCTCCATTCAAAGCAGGTGAAATCACAGATCTAGAGAGTGTACAGAGATCCTTTACTGCACGTATAAGTTCTGTCAAGCACCTTAACTACTGGGAACGCATGGAAGCACTTGACTTGTACTCGTTGGAACGCAGGAGGGAGATATATCATAATCTACACTTGGAAAATCTTGGAAGGAATGGTCCCGAATCTGCACACAGGAATCACTCCCTACGAAAGTAAAAGACTGGGCAGGCGATGCAAAATGCCCCCAATAAAAAGTAGGGGCGCCATTGGTACACTAAGGGAAAACACCATAAGTGTCCGGGGCCCAAGACTGTTCAACAGCCTCCCATCAAGCATTAGGGGAATTGCCAATAAACCCCTGGCTGCCTTCAAGAGAGAGCTGGACAGATACCTAAAGTCAGTGCCGGATCAGCTGGGCTGTGGCTCGTACGTTGGACTGCGTGCGGCCAGCAGTAACAGCCTAGTTGATCAGGCCCTGATCCATCGGGAGGCCTGGTCATGGACCGGGCCACGGGGGCGTTGATCCCCGGAATAACCTCCAGGCCAGTCTTAGAATATGCAGCAAAAGCATGGAGGCTTCCCAATCATGCACATTTACAAGATATTGTACAGCAAAACTTTGATTTAAAGGTCCTCTGCTTAATGAACTCTGGAGAGCCTCTGGATACAGAATTACCATTTTTGTTACAATATTTAAAAATGTTCTTAATAATGAATTATAGATACAGCAATCCTTTTCTAAATTAAGTGTTTTACCAAATGCATTTACAATTTGAATTGGACACCATCTCCATCCTTATTAATCTGTTTAATCAAGGTTTAACTATACTGTACAAGTGGCTAGGAGGAAATGACAGGGTGGAGGTGGATACCCTGTTTGAAATGCTAAGACTAGGAGCATGAATTTTTTAAACACTGGCAGTCTCCCAAGAAGGAAGAATGACCCCTCCACCAAAAAAAAATTAACAATCATTCAACAGCTATAGTGCCAGAAGTGCTCAGGCATCACAATTAAAACGATGCTCTAAACTTCAACATCCCCACCTCGCTAGAGCACAGGCATTGTACTTCCCACCTCCAGGACTAAGTTCAGGAAAATAGTTTCCCTGAATCCCTTCATAAATGTTATCGTGCTTACACTCCAAGAGCAAGGCAAGTCATAAAACCCACTTTTTTCCACTCTAATCTAAAATGCTCACACAAGCCTGCAGGATGTTCATACCCTTAGCCTGTACCCTCACCCTCCAACCCTTCCTGAGATGACCCCTACTCAACAATTTCAAGGCAGGTGAAATTACTGACCTAGAAAATGTACAGAGAACCTTCACAGCACACATAACTGCGATAAAACACCTCAATTAACGGGAACAGTTGACGTTCCTCAACCTGTACTACCTAGAATGCAGGCGGGAGAGATACATGATTATATACACTTGGAAAATCATAGAGGGATTAGTACCAAACTTGCACACGAAAATCACTCCCTATGAAAGCAAAAGACTCAGCAGATGATGTAATATCCCCCCAATGAAAAGCGGGATGCCACTAGTACGATAAGAGACAACACAATAAGTGTAGACAGCCTGTACTGTCTGCCAGCTTAGTTCATATTTCGCGCCATGCTGGTGCTGCCCTCTGTAGCCAGGCCTCTCGTAGGCACGCCAGCCTGTCGGCCCATGCCTCTCTCTCACTCACACAGCGGCCTAGCAGCAAGTCACAAAGCCTCCCAGCTCTCTCTCGTGGGATGGCCCTGCCCGGGCCATGGGCACAACACAAGCCTGTGTACCCACCACTACTTAACAATAAAGTAAGAAGCCTCCGAAGAAGACGTATCATTTCAACTACCCGCTCGCTACAGCCTACCAAATAATCTCCTTATATAAGTGTGAGGGGCCCAAGGCTGTTCAACTGCCTCCCAGCACACTTAAGGGGGATTACCAATAGACCCCTGGCTGTCTTCAGGAAGGAACTGGATAGGCACCTAAAGCCAGTACCTGACCAGCCAGGCTGTGGTTCGTACGTCGGGATGTGTGCAGCCAACAGTAATAGCCTGGTTGATCAGGCCCTGATCCACCATGAGGCCTGGTTACAGACCGGGCCACAGGGGCATTGACCCCTGAAATACTCTCCAGGTATACTCCTTATTGGTTCTATCCAAAATTTGTACACCATCTTCCTTACACTACTGTGCTCCATCTTCTCTAAATGCCAATCCCTCAGGGAAGGTTCCTTGATGTTGGTGAGGGCCTCTTGATTTAGGGAATTGGATCTGTGCTCCAGTTCCCTGAATTAAGCCTTCCACATCCCCCCCCCCAGGCGCTGTATAATCCTACAGGTTAAGCGCTTCCCCCTTGATTATGATGATGATGTAAATGCCAAAAATCAACTCAGTCCTTCAAATTACGGCATACTGAAATTAAAATAATTGCCCAAAAAAGTTAAAGCAATACCATATCAAATGACTAAACAAAACAGTCTGAAAACTAAGAACTTCAACCAAATTGTGATAAGTAAATTACTCATCTTTAATCAAAAGCACACTGAAATAATATTACCTAAATTCTGTAGTACATAGCACATTGTAAAGGAAGCCAAGTAATCTGTTACGTGAGAACCTAATTATGTAAGGCCAATGCTGATAAAAACATTATCTATGAATATATACAGTATACTGTACAGGTCGGCCATCACTTATCCGACATCATTGGGACCTGCAGTGTGCCAGATTAGTGAGTTTGCTGGATTACAGAGTGGTTAGGTTAGACTATAGTTAACCTATTAATACAGACTTTCTGTTACATCTTCCTCATTTTCATCACTGCTTTCTCCTGCACTGGCTTGCTGCTGTGGATTTACAACCATCTGCACAATTTCCGAGTCAGTATAATGATGAAATTGGAAATTATGCTAGCCAAAATTAGTGCCAGATTACTGATGGAACCGGATAACTCATTCCTGAATCAGTGATGGCTGACCTGTACATGTTAACCCTTTGACTGTCAAGAACACAAATCCTGAAGTGTCTCTTTGTGTTGCATAAAAAAATCTTATGAAATGATAGAGAATCTTTACCAATGGTAATGACACCAAAAGTATGAAATCTGATGGAAAACTTATGGAATTACGCTCTCATGAAGTTAGCGATCTCACCGATATATATGCATCGGTGATTTTTGCCCACTTTGAGCCCTATTTTTGGCCAATTCCATTGTTCCAGTCAACCAAAGTCATATCTATTTCTTTACAACTCCATTTGTTCTATCGACTGAATACAAAAAACCACCCATTTACCGATTTTAGCTACCCAATAAAGTGGTCAGAAATTGGCAATTTGGCCAATTTCACGCAGATTAAAAAAAGATGCCAATTTCAAAATAGGGTTCAGAATAAACAATGCAGACATTCCTGGCACTAAAATAACATTTTCTCTGTTAATTAGTCACATCTCCAGGCCCCTCTTATACAGTGGACCCCCGCATAGCGATTTTAATCTGTGCAAGAGGGCTCATTGTTATGCGAAATGATCGGTATGCGAATGAATTTTCCCCATAAGAAATAATGGAAATCAAATTAATCCGTGCAAGACACCCAAAAGTATGAAAAAAAAAATTTTACCACATGAAATATACATTTTCCTACACACAAAGAGAAGGATACATGCACAATAGTAGAGTAGTACATGCACAATATATATTGTGCATGTACTACTCTACTAAATGAAGAATAAATGACACTTACCTTTATTGAAGATGCAGCAATGACTGATGAGACACTGTGTCCTGGGAGTGCCTTTTCCTCCTGAGTACTGTAGGTCCTGCTTGGCATTTTCTTCCAGAACAGGCCTTATCACACTGTGTATGCCACTACGATTCTTAAATCTCTCAAATCAACCTTTGCTGGCTTTAAATTCACCAATATGAGCACTAGTTCCAGGCATTTTTCCCTGTTCACCTGGGTGTTAGTCGACTGGTGTGGGTTGCATCCTGGGAGACAAGATTAAGGACCCCAATGGAAATAAGTTAGACAGTCTTCGATGACACTGACTTTTTGGGTTATCCTGGGTGGCAAATCCTCTGGGGTTAATTGTTTCTTGGTATTCTCAATAAGCCACACCAACAACGGTGCTACAGCAGCAGCAGCAGCAGCAGCTGACAGTGCTACAGCAGCAGCAGATGATGCTACAGCAGCAGCAGACGATGCTACAGCAGCAGAAGACGGTACTACAGCAGCAGCAGCAGCAGCTGATGGTGGTACAGCAGCAGCAGCAGCAGCTGACAGTGCTACAGCAGCAGCAGACGATGCTACAGCAGCAGCAGACGGTACTACAGCAGCAGCAGACGATGCTACAGCAGCAGCAGACGGTACTACAGCAGCAGCAGACGGTACTACAAAAGCAGCAGCAGCAGCTGACGGTGGTGCAACAGCAGCAGCAGCTGACGGTGGTACAACAGCAGCAGCAGCAGCTGACAGTGCTACAGCAGCAGCAGACGATGCTACAGCAGCAGCAGATGGTACTACAGCAGCAGCAGCAGCTGACGGTGGTACAGCAGCAGCAGCAGTTGTACCACCAATAGTAGCGATGGTTGATTGGGGTTCATTATACAACCTGGCCAGCTCGGAGACACGCACTCCACTTTCATACTTATCAATGATCTTTTTCTTCATCTCTATAGTAATTCTCACCCTTATTGCTGTAGGGTTGGCACTAGAAGCTTTCTTGGGGCCCATGGTCACTTATTTTGCAGATAAAATCACCAAAAACACTGTAATAATACGAAATGTTCCGATTGCATGCTTGGATGTTACCGCGGAGGCTGGCTGGTAAACAATGCCACCGGCGGCACATGTGAGGCTGGCTAAGGGCGCACATTGGACGCGTCTCGGACGAACAGCGGTGAGCAGGTTTTTGAGCATGTATGCGAGGCAAAATTTTTGCGATAAAAGCGAGCGGTATGCGGATTAAACGTTATGTGATGCCGACGGTATGCGGGGGTCCACTGTATTACTCTTGCTTTCTATTTTGAATTTTTATTCACACAAAAAATAGATTTACTGTTATGCAGACAACTGCATTATTGTTATAATTGTATAAATAATGTCAACCCATTCGTGACTGCATATCAGTGCCTAGTTGGACACTTATTGGACGATGACGTCATTCGTTTACTCTTGAACCTCGGCAAAAATCAAACATTTCCGCTACTTTGAGCTCAATTTCAAGGCCCTTTTCACTGTGTAACCAATCAAAATCATCTCTATTTCTGGATTATGTCTTCCATTCTATCAAATGAGACCAAGAAAATGAGAATACAAGCCATAAATATTATACAAACATACACCTCAAAGTCGGCATTTTAATCCAAAAACACGGTCGGAGCTTTTTTTTTTCTCATTATGCACTGCGTGCTGCAGGATTTTTTTTATACTGCGCACACTGACCACACAGACCCATTCTCTCACATGTGAGCCTACCAGCTTTCTCCCGCTTGATCTGAAGCCACTAGAATTTTGGCATAATAATATGTCACCGACACTGGCTTGTAAGGCGTATAGATACGACACTGACAGTCAAAGGGTTAATGAACATGTAATATCTGAAACTACTTACAGCTAATCTTGCTGTCTAGTTCACTTTCTGTTGTATCTGACATGTCCGTTGGAATGACATCGTTGGGCTGTGGAGTAGAGTTAAGGGAAGTGTGATTCTGTGACGATTTTGCAGAGTGATTCTGAGGAGATTTTGTGGGTGAAGATGAAACTTTAGGTTGTTGAAGATTTTCTGCTCCCACAAACTCTGACGTCTCTGAGTCACATCCATTCTTTGGTACTGGTGGAACAGAAGACTCATCAAGAACATCTCCAGGGCAGGCATCCTGTAAACAAAGAAGTGTAATCTATAGTATTTTGAAATACAAAAATTTCACTTGAGTTTGTAAAATGTACTGTACATGCAAAACATTATTGTGAGTTATATATTCTTGTCAACAAATAAGAAAATAGAGACAACTTTCCCATGCCTTAATCTTCAACATAATGAGAAATAATTATTCTGAAGGTTTCTCAAAATAGCTGAAATTTTACAATAATATTCAAGGTCTCAAGTGAATTAACGAGAGTCTACATTTCAACACAATAAATATTAAACTTGTACATACAGCCTCTCCTCACTTAGCGACGTACTCGTTTACCAACGACTCAGACATACGACAGGCTCTCTGACCAGTATGTATACCTAAATAATGTATATTAGAGCTAATTTCCCCTATTCTGTTTATTACAACACAGCTTCTCATCACTTAACGATGGAGTTCCGTTCCTGAGACCACGTCGTTAAATGAATTCGTTGCTAAGTGAGGAGCATACTATAATGGAAGTGAGTTTGTGTCAACCATGTTTGATATTGTTTTAATGTCACCTATGCAGTATTTATAACATTTCTGGTATATTTTTAAATGCTTATACAGCAGTGTTCTGTATATTGAAATAAACAGAAGAGCGGACATCAGCTATAATGTACAGTGGACCCCCGGTCCCGATGCTATCGGTATCCGATAAATCCGGTAGCCGATGCATTTGATCGAAAAAAATTTGCCTCGCTTCCCGATACAAAACCCGGTATGCGATACGATTCGTACGAGATTTGTCCAGTGTTTACAAGCCAGCCAGTGTGCGCGCATCTAAGGATACATTCGGTACATTCTATATAATCCATATTATCACTGTTTTTGGTGCTTGTTTCTGCAAAATAAGTCACCATGGGCCCCAAGAAAGCTTCTAGTGCCAACCCTTCGAGACCAAGGGTGCTAATGACTATTGAAATGAAGAAAGAGATAATTGCAAAGTATGAAAGTGGAGTGCGTGTATTGGAGCTGGTCAGGTTGTATAGTAAACCCCAATCAACCATCCCTAGTATAGTGAGCAGGAAAACGGCAATCAAGGAAGCTGTTCTTGCAAAAGTTGCAACTGTGATTACGAAACAGCGACCACAAGTGTTAGAAAATGTTGAGAGACTGTTATTGGTGTGGATAAATGAAAAACAGATAGGAGGAGATAGCATCTCTCAAGCGATCATTTGTCAAAAGGCTAGGCATTTGCATGACGATTTGGTAAAGAAATTGCCTGCAACTAGTGGTGATGTGAGTGAATTTAAGGCGAGCAAAGGTTGGTTTGAAAGATTTAAGAATCGTGGTGGCATACATAGTGTGATTAGGCATGGTGAGGCTGCCAGTTCAGACCACAAAGCAGCTGAAAAATATGTGCATGAATTCAAGGAGTACATAGAGGCTGAGGGATTGAAACCTGAACAAGTGTTTAATGTGACAAAACAGGCCTGTTTTGGAAGAAATTGCCAAGCAGAACCTACATTACTCAGGAGGAAAAGCTACCTCAAGTCCTAATGGAGGGGGATTCCCCTTCTAAACAATAGGTTCAACACACTCCCCTCCTCCCATCCCATCAATCATCACCAGATCTTCATTAAAGGTAAGTGTCAATTATTCTATTGTTATTGTTGTTATTGTAATTACTCTATTACATTAAACTTAATATTTCATGTGGTGAAGGTTTTTTTTTTTCATACTTTTGGGTGTCTTGCATGGATTAAGTTGATTTCCATTATTTCTTATGGGGAAAATTGATTCGCTTCCCGATAATTTTGGTTTACGATGAGCTCTCAGGAACAGATTAATATCGCGAACCGGGGGTCCACTGTACGTACATTATTTAGGTAAGAATACTGGTAAGAGAGCCCGTCGAAAGTCCCAGGTGTCGGTAAACAAGTACGTCGCTAAGTGAGGAGAGGCTGTATACAGTAAACTGTATAAACATTTAAAAATACAGTAATACCTCTCATACCCTTACTATATGGGCTGAGACCGGTTCGGAAACACAGTTTCTGGATATGTGAGGGGGAAAAAGTGCGCATCTGTACCATCATATTGTCATCGGCGACGGCACTGTAGGTTTAAAAATGAGTCCAACGTTGTCTGGCAGTGGGAACAGACACACTGGGTTCGAATAACAGCCTCCCGGATTTCATGGACCACAGGACCATAATTTTTCAAATGGGCTGCAGACAGTGGATGCTCCAAATACTCCAAAAGTGTTTCAACACCTGCCCTTGTTGCTGAAGTTTTTGGTCTTGGAGGCACTGGGTTGTCATCGTTGTCACTTTTGGAATGTTCCGGGTACAGCACTGATTCTGCAATCTCTGCATCTGTTAGAGATTGCACACCAGGGTCGTCTTTGTCACACACTAGCCAGTCCTACACGTCGTCTTCTGTAGTTTTCCCCCAGCCTTGGACCAACCTGCATCGATGTGTGACAATATTTCCCTCTTTTTTTTTCTAGAGTAAGCACATTCCTAGCCCTCTTTGGTGCCACACACAAGTTAGCTCAGACAAAACACAGCTGTAATAACGCTAAAAGGAAGGCGAAGAGTGTGGCTCCTAGTGGCCAACAGGTACACTAAAGTGTGTGCCAAGTTTGATTCAGCCTTCTGCTGTATCTGAACAGCTGTTCAGATGTTTTGGTAATAATTTTAGAATTTTGCCCTTTCCCAGGGCCTGTTTGAATATTGGCGAGGTTCGAATAATGGCAGGCTGGATATGTGAGGTATCACTGTATACCAGAAATGTTATAAATGGTGCAAAGGCGACATTAACTCTTAAACTGTCCAAACAGATCTATGTTCACATGTGTAGTGCTCCAAAAGTAGATCAAAGTTTTTTTACACATTTTCAAATGCAAAAAAAAAAAAAAAAGAAGGTCTATGTTTTTTTTACATACTTTCAAATGTTGAAAAAACGTAGATCTACGTTTGGACAGTTTAAGGGTTAAAACAATATCAAAGATGGTTGACACAACCCACTACCATTATAGTATGCTCCTCACTTAACGATGAATTCATATACCGATGTGGTCTTAGGAACAGAACTCCATCGTTAAGTGAGGAGAGGCTGTATATTGTTTGGCTTTTACAATACAAAATGAGGGGGAATAGGGGTGATGCTATTTATACCCTACTCCCAATGTTTGCCCAAGCAAACTAGAATAACTAATCTTGCAAACAAACGAGTGGGGCTTGAACCCATGGTTAGTCATAAAACTCTTAAATCTTAGAAGGTTCATTAATAAATTAGGAAATGTTTGACTGCACTATATCTGGGATGGTTATGTTTATAAGATTTTTTATATAGTACCGTATTTTTGCTGCCCCAAAGTGGCTTGTTTATTGTGCACCCCATATCCATCCTCTGGACAGTAGTGCAAGAGCATACACATACAAAAGGCCTAGGAACTAGGCCCCAAAATTTTTTAGCACAAGTACATATATATGGGTATATACAGGAGTTACAATTTAGGAAGAAGTAAAATACCTATGTGTTTCTCTCAACCTTCCCACCCCCACCCATCCCCAAGAGTGTGGGAAGGCCAAGGTGACCTTTATCCAGCCCAACACATACAGTGACTCAAAAAATATATGACATATATTTCAACTGAAAACTATGGGACCAAGAGCTACACCTCAAACCCTGCAAACTCAAATAGGTCACTAAAAATAGGTAACTACATACAGGTAATTATAGATAGGCAATTACATACTGCTGGTATGAAATGCAAGAGATAGATAGTGCTACAACCATTGGAAATTTAAAAAAACATGAAATATTGGGCACTGGCATTGATCTGCTACTGCAACTACAAACAGGTTATCTCAAATACATGGGCCAAGTGATGACAAAACTATTATTGTACCCTCATACACATACTCTTAATGTATATGGCAACACTAACGTTTACACTCCTGTGTATAAAAAACAGTTTTAAGAGTAGATATGTTAAGGCTCAAAAGGCCAAAAATCAGTGATGCCATTCAAAACAGTCCAGGAGGTTCGGGCCAAGAGCTAGATCTCGACCCCCATAAACACAACTTGGTGAGTATAGAGAATGGTAGACCAATGAATTAAATTAAGAGGACGTGGTTATGTGCTGCAACGACTGAAATTTAAAAACAAAATAAGATGAAATAATTAATTACAGAAGATGAAACTGCTTCAGTAGCTACAAAAAGGCAAAACCGGAATAAAGGGAATACAAATAAAGTGCTAAAAATATCTAACCAAGACTGGACTAGCAGCAACAGATTCAAGTTAGTCAAAATTTTGATTTAGAAATGATACAGAAATGCAATGGTTTGTCAACTGAGTTCAGGATGAGTGAAACATACTCTGGAGTAGCGACTTTGGTCTGCTTTTAAAAGCAGGTTGGGCAGGTAAACAAGTGAGTGAGGACTTGCTTAGCATGGGCCAACAGACTTGCTGCAGTGATCATTTTTTTATACATGCATAAATGCTCTCTCGCGCTAGCAGGCACACACTCGAATGCTCACGCACGAACGCGCAAGAGGTGGAGCCAGGAGCTGTGACTAAACCCATGAAACTGCAAGTGGGTGTACATGCGCGCGCGCACACACACACACACACACACACACACACACACACACACACACACACACACACACACACACACACACACACACACACACACACACACACATACACACGCAATACCAAGTGGGGCCACATACTATACCTCACTTATCTGTATGGCAGGCACCTCCCGCCCCCCCTCGCCCGTGCCATCGTCACAAATTTCGGGTTGCTTGAGGGTGGCGATGGGCGTATATGAAGGTGGCGGTGACGGAGAGTCATCCTCGTGGGCGGAGGCGGGGGCTGAGACGCTGGTGGGATGTGGGTGCTGGTCAACCTCCGTGAGTTGAGACAGACAGATGCGAGAAGGCTGGAGGCTGCTGCGACGAGGAGTAGGGATAGGGATGGGCGGAGATAAGGGTATGCTGCCACTACCATCCATA